GTGCGCCGGGTGGAAGTCGGGAGTCGTTTCCTGGGGGGGGAAATGTGTCGGGAGGGGGAGGAACGGCGCGGGCGGGGAAGAAGCAGCGCTCGCGAAGGAGTAGAGCGCGGCGGGAAAGAGAGAAGGGGGGGAAGGAAAAAGAAGAAGGAGAAGAAGAAAATTTAAAGAAGAAGAAGAAAAAGAAAAGAAACAAGGAAGAAAAAAATAAGGAGAAAAAAAATAAAAAAAATAAAACTGTCGTCGATTACTTATCTGCGCGACAGGAACGACGGCGATGACAAGGACGGCGCGGCGCAGCGACGAGGACGATGGGCACGGTGATGATGACGTGGCACAACGGCGGCGATCCCGTCGATGACGATGATGACGGGGCACAATGACGACGATTGCGATGATGACGATGATGACGTGGCACGGCAACGATGACCTCGATGATGATGTTGGTGATGGCCGGTGACGACGTCAAAGTATGGTGGGTCGGGCGGGTTCGAACCGCTCCGATACCAGTGTAACGAGCGTGAGGCTGAGGGTGAGCCGAGGGAGAGGAGAGAGAGGGAGAGAGTGAGAGCACACACACACACTCACTCACTCGACACGACGGACTCGGACTGAGGATCAGACGCAGACACAGTGGCAAGGCACAAAGTCGAAGTCTTGGATTCCGAATGTCGAAACAGCAAGTCACACTGAGTACGAGTACAGCAGCAGAGAACTGGTACGAGACTGGTCCCCGTACCGTACGGGGAAGCCGGTATAAGTACTGGTGACACGTACGGTACCAGGGGCATTTCTGCAAAGGCCCCGAGGGCAGAACTGAAAATTGCAGTATTTGAAAGTGGCGCCCGAATCGCAGCATGGCGCCAGTTGTCCAAAATCCTACGGTACCAAAGGAGGGGTTTGGAAAAAGGGTGCCAGGCAGAAAACGGGATGCAGCTGAAACAGCAAAAGATAGACCAGGGATCGAGCCCTGGCGGAGTCCGTAACAGGATCAATATTCAGTTCCCTCAGTCTACATGCATTTGGATGCTTTCTGGGCGCAGTACATTCAGAATGCTGGACTCGTTGGGATGCACCTGGTCCTCAAAGCGTCCAAAATTTCAAATGCATGTAGAGTGATGTGTAGTGGAGCCTGGCCCTAGTGCAGCAGACGAGGACACGTGCACGTGACTACTTCTGTAGGTAGGGAGGGGTTCAGTATCTGAAGAGGGCTGCCGTCTTCCCCCGAATAGAACATACGCTCATTGTGGCTGTATCTAGACTGAAAACTGCCCCAAATACAGGCATAGTGATGGCACGTTCTATTTGGGGGAAGAAGGCAGGCCGTCTATTCTCATAATGGTCGGAATGTGGGGTGGTGCCGCAAGGCGGTCTGGAGAGAAGCCCCCTGAGCAATGGCAGGAGCACAGCCTGGCCGAAGCACGTCGGCGAATTTGCGCATTCAAACTAAGAACTGTATGTGAGGAGAAGTAATTATTTTTTTAATAGATCCCTGGACGAGAAGCGGTCTATGGCCACTGTTTTCACTCTTTTTCTTCTTCTTCTTCTTCTCCTCCTCCTCCTCCTCCTCTCTGCTGTGCTTGGTTCCTGTGTTTATTGCGTTCTGAGTTCAATCGAAGACATGGATTTTAAAAGTAATTCTATCTATTTTCTCATTTGCTTCTTCTTCTTCTTCTTCTTCTTTGCCATGCTCTCGGCGTCGCTGCGTGGCACACGAAACGAAAAATGAAACGAGTGCATCTTCCCACAGAAAATGCACAGGTTCATCGGTTTGCTATAAATCGTAACGCTCTGGGCGTATGTTGTTCATGTCATGCGGCGAGGCCCTCTCTCGTCTGTGGCATTGCTGCGTGGCAAACACAACGAAAAATGAAATGAGTGCATCTTCCCACAGAAAATGGACAGGTTCATTGGTTTGCTATAAATAGTAACGACTGTATTTTGCTACCTTTTGCATGCAGATGCACCGTTTCGTTTTCGTTTTGTATGTCGTTCATGTCGTTTGGCGAGGCCCTCTCTCGTCTGTCGTCTCTTTTTGCTGCTCTCTCTGCTGTGCCCCAACTGGTTTGTTGGGATTGGCTAAATTTGCTCTATTCTGTGCTTGTGCTTGTTCTTGGCAGTTGGCTTGCAGTTCAAGGAGCCGCTGACGAATTACCACGAAAGACCTATGTTGCTCGTTTTGAAGAACTGCAGCGAGGTTGCGCCACTGTTAGCGTTGGCAGCTGAAAACGGATCTGTGGTGGGTGCAGATAACGAGTCGTCAATTGTGTTCGTACTGCCAACTCAACCCAGCTTTGTCGGCGCGCCTTTGCCGGATATCCCTGAAAACCGGCGGATGATCCCCCTGCTTGTGCGATGCCTCTCGGCCAATGTCACGTATTTTGCGAGCAGCAGTGAGGTCAACAAAAGAGTTTTCCAGAGCTATAAGGTCACAGACGAAGGGGTGCCCCTGGCCCTCGATTTTCGAAACACCAGCCGCACTCACTTGGATGTGAACATCTGGTTTAATGAGACGCTCACCGCTTTTTCTTTTGGGCAATGGCCGAAAAGACAGCTGCGGCTACCGAGATCTCTGAACGCAGTTACCAACGCTTTCCTCAGGTGGGCGACGAATAAATCGGAAGTGTACGCACCCATGCTGTACGTGAAAGATATGCCCAAGCCAGAAACGAACCTGAACCTGGACATTTCCTCAGGCATTGGACCACTCTTCTTCTGCTGGGTTCTCCATCTCCTGCTCCCAGTCACGGTGTTCAACCTGGTAAGTTCCCAAGCTTCCTTTTTGGAAAAATGGTTGGAAAAGTGTTGTCGCTTTTTCTTACTTCCTACTCTCTCTCTCTCTCTCTCTCTCTCTCTCTCTCTCTCTCTCTCTCTCTCTCTCTCTCTCCACACACACAACACA